CGAGGCTGCTGCTCAGGCTAGACACGTTTACTCAGAAGTTCTGCATCACAGTCCCGCGGGGATTGCTGCTGCTGCTGCTGCTGCTGCAGATTAAACCAAATTAGAAAAAGAAAAAAATGAGGCGTTTAAGTACACACACATAACGTAGGAGGAAGCACGCTGCTCACTTTTCCCTGAGCGCGTCCGTCATTTCCCTTTTAACTAGGAGGCAGCCGGTGGAAGATTTAACTATTTCACAACTCAAGCAACCTTGCGCTTTTGGGAGGTAAGGCCCGGGGAGTCCGGGAAGCGAGGAGGGCTGGTTGCGCCCGAACAGAGTCGGTCGCGCAGAGATCGCAGCCCATCTGCGATCCAAAGCACCCAGCGAGGGGCGCCCAAGACGACGCCCGCGCCCGGCGGGACGTCCACTACGGGGCAGCGATGTCGGTTTTGCGCCACGTGTTGCGCTCCAACCACCTCCCGTCGGTTCAACGAGCGAGGCGATCGGCCGCTTCGGGAGCCGCGCCAGCGCTGTGCACTTTTGGTGGCGCTCCCACCCCCACCTGGACAAATCGCCCTCCGCGACAGAAAAGCCGCCGCCGCCGCCGCCCCTTCCGTCACCCTCCAGGCGCAGCGCAACCCCCGTTCCCGCGACGGCAGCAATTACGGCCCCAGCGTGAGCTCCGTGCAAGCGCGAAATGAAACAGCGGATCAATTAAAAAATAAACACTCCATCGGAAAACGAGGACAACCCCCTGGGACGGCCTAACAGGCGCAAATGAACCTGCCAGGCAGGCTGCCTGCCCCCTTCCCTTCCCTCCTCCTCCTCCGCGCTTAAGGTGGCGCGCCAGGGCGGGCGGAGGGGCGGAGCGGGCTCCGGAAGCAGCGAGCAACAGGTGCGCGCGCGCCGGAGCGGGCCGTGGCCGCGCGCGCCTGGGGCCCTTTTTTGCACCGCTAGCGCGGCGCCCACCGAGGACGCAGTCCCGGGACCGGTTTTCCAGAGGCAGAGAAATGTGAATCCACTTGATGCTGTTGTGAATTCCTCTGACATCTGCAGAGTACTAGGGCAGCACTGTGCAAAACTGGAAAGATGTGCCAGACAGAGAACTGGTGAGCCAACAGGTTGAAGGATCCTACCCGAAGTACCTGCTTTGGAATGGAAAGCCATTCTTCAGCTTTAAAGACGGAAAAGTCCATTGGCCTGCTATCCTCGTCAGATGGCCAGCATTTTCCACCTTCGCATTTGTCCTTAGGTATGGGTCCTCCCTCAAACGCATACATCCTACCATCAACTCCACGTAACTTGCATTCCTTCTGTGAAACCAAGCCTGTGGTGTCACTTTCTGGATCTCGTCAAGTCTTGATTTGTTTCATAATCTTCACATGCATCTCCATCAGTGATACATGAAAAAGTTAGACTGAGACCTAGTCATCCTTACAGTAGACCCAATGAAGCCAGAGGCTTCGGCGAATGGGGTGGCATAAAAATGTTTTAATAAATAAAATAAAATAAGTGGGTGTGAAAGAGCCCAGGGTGCCAACTGGAAGTGCAGTAACTCTTTGGTCCATTTTTCCTCTCCCTCCTGACATGCCCTGCCAGCCCCCCCCCCCCCAAGTTCCAGTTATAAGCTGGGTGGCACTGGGGAAGGAGGAGACTTGGCCTTCAAGTTGCAGCTCTGAGATTGCAGGAGCCCAGAGATGGGGCTCTGAAGAACCCCGTGCCTCCCAAATGCTGTCAGGAAGGCAGAGGACTGTGTCCCTAATTCCTTATTGCTGAACTGTTTCACTTAAAATTAAATTATAAAAATGTCACAAGTGATCTACTATGGAGGAGGAACCTTGGCAGAAGAGTCATTTCTCCCGATGTACTCCTTTCTTTTCTCTCTCACTGACCTGGTTCACACATAATGACAATCCAGAGTATGGATTCTTGCCTTACCAAGAGTTTACCCAGGATTTGCCTGCCAAACCACAACACATACTTTGGTGTTTTTGTTTTCAGTACCTGGGTTGATTCCCCCCATTATATGGTCCAACCCTGTATACCAAATGCCACTGTGGTATAGCAGTCCCAGCCTGTAGAGCAGTGGGAAGGACGGGGGTTAAACTCTCTTGCTTATCCACTCTGTAGCCTAGCGAAACAACCCACAGACAGCTCTGGGCTCACATGTAATGGCAATCCATCACAAAACTACATCCCCAAAATAAACTGTGCTTTCTCTTCCTGGGTTGTTCATGGTTAACAATTCATATTTAACCCATAGTTTTTGGGTTTGCAAGTAACAATAACCTAGCACTCCACAAGCCACATTCAGGTTTTCCTATGTATGAACCAGGTGGTTACAATCCTGAGCAGACAGGGTTGCTCAGAGATAGGCTTGGAGGTTAGGGGAAGTCAATGACAGCAGGAGACCATTTCTACTCAAAATGATTTTAAAGAAGTTTTCCCTCAAACCGCAAATTCCCAGGTGGAACAGTAGAACAAGCACTGCTCATCTCTGTATGCTCATCAGCCTGACAATTGGTGGTGAGCTGGCAGGAAGTCAAATGAAGGGCAAGTTTGGAAATGATGTGAGTGTAGTGAGGTGGGTCTGTGTCATCACTAAAAGAAGTTAGGAAAAAATCTTTATGGGAGTTAAATACCATCAAAATAAATGGGATTTACTTCTGCTTAATGTGTTTATCATGGGAGCCATTCAGCAAGCTCATTAAGAACACCCAAATCCCATTTATTTTGATGGAGCTTAGCCTCACCAAGAGATAACAGATTGAATCTGGGACCTGTTTTCTGATGGCCAAAGGCTGCTGATCACAAAAAGGGCATCTACCTGATTGGGGGGAGAGGTTCCCCTTATCCCCCTGCATCTCAGTTCACCCCATTCAGCAGGTCTGCCAGTCCCCCAAGTAGCATTTCTGGGGGCATGGAAGGGACCCTTAGGGGAAGTGGGTGGGAAGTCCACTTTCAGAGATCTAGTTCAATAGCCAAGCTCCACATCCAACCCAGTGTTTCTCAGACCTCTGCCTAAATTGTCATCCATCCCATCTCTTTGAAAATGAGTCTTACAGTTGTTTCCCTGCTTCCAAAAGAAAGTGAGAGAGCAAAAAGATGTTTTCTCAAATACCATCCATGCTCATAGGGCTTCCCAGAGCTGACAACACACAACAGAGACTTGCCCCAATGAGCTTACAAACAAAAACGGATACAGCAGGGAGAAGGGAGGAAGAGGAAAGAAAACTGACATTCTGTTCCATATGCTTCCTTTTGGGAATAAGAGTGAGTTAATGCAGCCCTCCACCAAACTTCCAACCTCCAGCCCGTTTTTTCTCTGAAAAGGTGGCTTTGGGGGAGGGATTTGAGCAGGGAAAAATGGCATGCTGCAAACACACACACACACACACACACACACACACACACACGGTCACTCCACACTGCCGTGACTGCCAAGCCATTGCTGCATCACAAGCAGCTTCTCCAGCCATTCTGACATCGCTCAAACTACAGCAACCTTATCACAAGGTGGTGCCCTCCATTTGAGTGGGGCTACAGCTCCCTCAGCCTGACAGCGAGCCATGTTATCCAAGGATGATGGGACCTCTAGCCCTGAATATCTGCACTCACTAGGCTGGGGAACGCAAACATTCCAAGTCCCACCAAGATATGAAGAACGGGTGGAAAATGCCTTTCAGAGTTGCAGAATTTGCACCAGGTGACCACTGGGAAGCTGTTTGCAAAGTGAGGTGTATTAAATCATTCATTAAATCAAGCCCCCATGCCCATTGGCTCGATCTAGTTTTGCAGAAATCCCAGAGATTTAAGTATAAAGTGAACAGAGAACCTGCTTGTCGGGGGCCGGAGGATTTCATTATAACAATTAAATTCGGGATTCTGTTCAGCTCTGCGAGCGACAGAAAGCAAGAGCCCGAGCCAAGGACCGGAAACAGGTCTTGAATTTGTGTCTTGTCTGAGCAGAATCATTTTCATAACTTACCTGCCAAGTGTTAAGTGAACTATTTACACCTACTCCCCCCCCCCAAAAAAAAAAGCACACGCACGCAGACTCTTAAAGGGCCAGGAGCGCCAATCCCCTTCCAAGCACGGAGCAGTCCGGGATCCACCTTAAGGGAGAGGACTGGGGGGGGTCACCGTTCCCCGCCCGGAGCCCTCGTGATAGGTAGCTGGGGCAGGCGAGGCGGGGCCTGGCATCCTTCACTATAAATAACCCTGGGAGCGCGGCCACCGGATTGGCGCTGCTGGAGCCGGAGAGCGAGAAGTTGCGCGGACGGGACCGTGGTGGTTGCGCGCCGCCTGCGAAGCCGCTCAGGTGGCAGCGCGAGAGCGTGCGCTGCAAGTCGCCCGCGGCGCTGCGGGCACCGGCGCTCCGCGAGGGAGAGCCCGATCGGCTCGGCGGCGGGCCGCTGGCTCCGGGGCAGCGTGGAGCGGCCGCCGCCGCCGCCTCTCCCGCGCTTCTCAGCCATCTTGACACGGCACGGCCAGGGCGAAAGTTGCGGAAAGCGAGGAGGAGCGGCCGCCGCCGCCGCGCGGAGTCGCCGCTCCTGCGACAAAGGCGGGCGCGGGAGATGAGCGCGGGACGCCTGGAAGCCGACTGAGCCGCGCGAGAGGGAAGCCCGCGCCCCGCGGGGCGCCGGCGCCGCCGCTCCTCCTGTCCGTCTCGGCCCGGGCGGAACGCGGACTTGCTGCGAGGGAGGCAGCGCTCCGGAGGCTGGGAGGCGAGCTGGCGCTTGGAGCGGCGGCGGCGCGACCCGGCGTGGAGACCGTCTTGGCGCGACCGGTGGCGGCGGCGACCGCACGAGAAGGACAAGCGTGGCCGACGCGCTCTCTGCCGGAGGAGCCCGCCAGGACGTGCTGCCGCCGCCTTCGCCCCTCCTGCCCGAGCATGGAGCTGAGTTACCTGTTGGCGCTCGCCTTCCTGCCGCTCCTGCTGCCCGCCTGGTCGCCGCTGCAGCCGCGCGCTAGCTGCGCCGCCTCTGCCGCCGCCGCCGCGGCCGGTGCCTCGTCGTCGTCGTCGTCGTCCGCGGCGGCGGGGGCGTCCGCCTCCGCCTCGTCGGCCAAGGAGCTGTCGTGCCAGGAGATCACCGTGCCGCTGTGCAAAGGCATCGGCTACAATTACACGTACATGCCCAACCAGTTCAACCACGACACGCAGGACGAGGCGGGGCTGGAGGTGCACCAGTTCTGGCCCCTGGTGGAGATCCAGTGCTCGGCCGACCTGCGCTTCTTCCTGTGCAGCATGTACACGCCCATCTGCCTGGAGGACTACAAGAAGCCGCTGCCGCCCTGCCGCAGCGTGTGCGAGCGCGCCAAGGCCGGCTGCGCGCCGCTGATGCGCCAGTACGGCTTCGCCTGGCCCGACCGCATGCGCTGCGACCGCCTGCCGGAGCAGGGCAACCCGGACACGCTGTGCATGGACTACAACCGCACCGACCTCGCCACGGCCGCGCCGCCGCCCGCGCCGCCGCAGCAGCCCAAGCCGCCGCACCGCAAGCCCGGGGGAGGCGGCGCGGGCAGGAGCCCTGGCGCCGCCGTGCCGCCGCCGGCCGCCGAGCCGCCCCTGCGCAAGGCTCGCCCGGCCGCTCCCTGCGAGCCGGGCTGCCAGTGCCGGGCGCCCATGGTGTCGGTCTCCAGCGAGCGCCACCCGCTCTACAACCGCGTCAAGACGGGCCAGATCGCCAACTGCGCCCTGCCCTGCCACAACCCGTACTTCAGCCCGGACGAGCGCGCCTTCACCGCCTTCTGGATCGGCTTGTGGTCCATCCTGTGCTTCATCTCCACCTTCGCCACCGTCTCCACCTTCCTCATCGACATGGAGCGCTTCAAGTACCCGGAGAGGCCCATCATCTTCCTCGCCGCCTGCTACCTCTTCGTCTCCTTGGGCTACCTGGTGCGTCTGGTTGCCGGCCACGAGAAAGTGGCGTGCAGCGGCGGGGCGGCCGCAGCGGGAGCAGGGCCGGCGGGCACGTCGGGGGGCGCTGCCGGAGCTGCTGCGGCAGCGGCTGCTGTAGGAGGGCGCGGGGCCGCCGGGGGCGCCACTGAGCTCCAGCCGGAGCTGGCGGTGGCGGAGCACGTGCGCTACGAGAGCACAGGCCCCGCCTTGTGCACGGTGGTCTTCCTGCTGGTGTACTTCTTCGGCATGGCCAGCTCCATCTGGTGGGTCATCCTGTCCCTGACCTGGTTCCTGGCAGCTGGCATGAAGTGGGGCAACGAAGCCATCGCGGGCTATGCCCAGTACTTCCACCTGGCGGCTTGGCTGCTGCCCAGCGTCAAGTCCATTGCCGTGCTGGCCCTCAGCTCGGTGGACGGGGACCCCGTGGCCGGCATCTGCTACGTGGGCAACCAGAGCCTGGAGAACCTGCGGGGCTTTGTGTTGGCTCCCCTGCTCATCTACCTGGCCATCGGCTCCATGTTCCTGCTGGCCGGCTTCGTGTCGCTCTTCCGCATCCGGAGCGTCATCAAGCAGCAGGGGGGGCCCACCAAGACGCACAAGCTGGAGAAGCTCATGATCCGCCTGGGCCTCTTCACGGTGCTCTACACCGTGCCGGCCGCCAGCGTGGTGGCCTGCCTCTTCTACGAGCAGCACAACCGCCCCCGCTGGGAGGCCACGCACAACTGCCCCTGCCTGCGGGACCAGCAGCCCGACCAGGCCCGCCGCCCGGACTACGCGGTGTTCATGCTCAAGTACTTCATGTGCCTTGTGGTGGGCATCACATCAGGAGTGTGGGTCTGGTCAGGGAAGACTCTGGAGTCCTGGAAGGCACTTTGCACCCGCTGCTGCTGGGCCAGCAAGGGGACCGCCACCATCGCGGGCGGCATCGGCCCCGTCGGCAGCAGTGGCGGCGTCGGAGGGGGCGTGGTGACTGCGGCCGCCGTGGGCGGGCTGGGGGGCGGCGGGGGTTCCATGTACAGTGACGTCAGCACTGGCTTGACATGGAGGTCCGGCACTGCCAGCTCAGTTTCCTACCCGAAACAGATGCCCTTGTCCCAGGTATAAAAGGGGAGAGGGCAGGAGCGGATGCAGCCAACTCTTTTCCCCGCCCCTTCACAAGCGAGCTTCCTAACGGCCTCCTCGTGCGCAGGACAGTGTGGCTGCAGGAGGCTCCCAAGTGCCAGACCCGCTCCCTCGGCCTCGGCCTGTCCCTTTCCCAGCGCCTCCTCTCAGTCAGACATCCAGGGAGCCTAGATTCTTCAGGGCACCAGCTCCTAAGGTGGACCGAGGAAACTGAAGGCTGTCTGGACCAGAGCTGACTTCAGCAGCTCCTTCAGCTAGCAGGAGCCTCCTTTGTTTGCTTGGGGCTTCTCTGTTTGTGATTTCTCCTTCCTTCACACTCGGAGGAGACAACGTCAAAACATAGATGTCTGATAGGACTGCAGGGGCTTGGGGAGACTTTTGAAGAATTTCCTTTCTATTAAAACAAAACAAAACTGGCAGATGCCTTAAACACATTCAAACCATGTCTTAATGATACACCCCCAATAAATACGGGTTTCTTATGTTAAAGGATGTATTTATATAATTATTTGGTACCTTGTGCAAAACATGTAAAATATGTATATAGTCCAAATACTATACAGTCTGTAAATTTTTTTGTTAAAGAAAAAGTTTAGAGGCTCACCATCACTGCTCCCTCCTGAGAGCAAATATTTGAGTATTCTATTTTGTCAATAAAACAATGATAAATTGTTTGGGAAGGGGGAACATGTCCCCTCTTGCTGCCCTGATTTTTCCTGTGGGTTGACGTGCCATGCTGGGGGTGGGCAAGGGGCATATGATGTTCCGGGTGTTATCTCAGAGCACAGTTAACAAAAAATTCCACGAGAGGCTTCAAGGTTGAGGGTGTGGGAACCAGACCCCCCCCCCTCAACTTAATTCTTGGACTCTAATCCCCCTAATCAAGATGGGTTTTTGGCCATGAGGTCTGGGGCTGATGGATGCTGGAGTCAAACATCCTCTGTAGGGCCTCGGTTTTGCCCACCCCTGCTTTGGAGGTGGAAAGGAAACAAAAATGGGTTGGACAGATTGAACCATCTGTCACTGAAAAGCACATACAGATAGAGATGGGCAACTTGTGACCTGCTGATGTTGTTGAACTGCAGCTCCCAACAGCCTCACCAACATGCCCAGTAGTGAGGGATGCTGGGACTTGCAGGCTAGCAACTTCTGCCGGGCCACAAGCTGCCCACTTCCCCAATACGTCATTGCAGCCCAACAGTTCCTGCTGGGCGACTTGGGGTTCTCCAGCAGTTGCTTGACAGCACTCCTTGGACTGTGGAGATGGGAGGGATGGCTGTGGAATTCCAGACAGCTGTGGAACTGCCTGGAGAAAAGATGTTCCAAAGTTTTCATCCAAATTGTTCACGCCTCAAATACTTTTGTGGGCTCCCTTAAAGTAACCACTTTGAAAAGTTGCAGCTTTAATTCTGTGCCATCCTCTCTCACAAAGCCATGGTCATGACCCAGACCGGATAAACAAGGACGGGGCATTCAATTCCCTCATGCTTTGTTTTGACTTCTCCCAAATTAATGTTACTTTAGGAATGTGGGAGACATCCGTGCAACATTTTGCGTGTGTTTTCCATGCTTGTTTTGGTAAGCACTTGCTTCTTAGCCAGCAGAGGCAGAAATGTTGACACCATCTTTGGGTAGAAAAGGGAGCTGAGAATTCTACATATAATGCACTTAAGAGATAATGTGATCTTAACCTTTCATACTTACATACAGCAAATGTCTCTCTCCTAGGAGATGGGAATTGTCCTTCCATCAAGGCTAAAGCTAATTGATTGGAGTGGGTGGGGGGGGGGCTGTAGAATTAGCAGAATGCTTTAGAAAAGCGGTTGAACTTTTTACCTATCTACCCCCAGTGGCTCAGAACATCTCTTCTTTTTAAAGAGGAACTAAATGAATAGGGTTAATCTGTAGGGATCTTGGTTCCTTTTGAGGCTGGCAAAAACTTTGATCTTTTCTCTAAATGCAGTGTATAGGATTTTTTTTTAAAAAAAATCTTTCGCCTGCCCAGTTTCTCTTGTTGCAGACCAATTGGCCACCATGGCGCCCCAAAGTTCTTCAATTAAAAAAGCCCCACATCCTTTTAAAGGAAGACTTGTAACAGTTAGTGAACACCAGAGGAAAAAGAGAGAACGGTCTTTTAAACAGCTTTCCCTAGCATTGTTAGCCAGACTGCAGGCAGTAAGGCCCAAGGTTAGAGTCTTATAATGGGATGGGGGTGAGAGGAGAAAAAAAATCTATGAATGCTCTACAGGTGGTCTACTATCTTAACAATGGCGCCCAATTTAAAGCATTTTTTCCTTTGCAGAACAACTGTATTTCCAAAATGCTTTCCTTTAGCTACTGATTGAACCAAAGAAAAGTACCATTATTAACCAGACATGCAGGTTTTCTTTTGTTTTTAAAATCTGAAGTGCTTGAAATCTTGGCAGACTTCTATGGTTTTCAAAAATCAAAGCATCAAAGCTGTATGATACATCCTATTTCAAATAGCCTGCCCCTGTTTGGAGTCCCAGTGCATCTGGGGGGCACCAGGTTGGGAAAGGTTGACAGAAAAGCAAATGACTTGAATTGGTGGCAGTGGCAAGAAGCCCTCAGCCTGCAGCTGGGACTGGACAGCCCTTGCCTTAATGATGCCACCACAAGCTGGGGCACGGAAGAAGGATCCCTCAAGCTTCCCTGGAGGCTGAGGATCTTTCATAGAGGAGAATGCACCAAGTATTTACCGCCTGTGACCGTGCAAGTGTCAGTTGGTGTCAGTCCCAGACAGTGATTCCACCTTCTCCAAGTAATGGCAAGTTTGCTGGGATCGCATTAGTAGTGGTAGCAGAAATGAGGCTGTTGGAGTTCATGTTCCGCTCTAAGATCACTGAATGCAGCTAATGGCCAAGGAGCCAAATGCTAAAAGGAAGGAAAAACTTGAAAGATCCCACAGATGAAGCCAGAACAATTTGTATTATTTAAAAGGCAGCCTAGATCTGAAGAGCATCCATGATCAGATCACCGATGAGAAATCCCAGTGCACCTGCAGTCCACACAGGGCCACAGCACTATAAACAGCAAAGAAAAAATCTTGCTTGGCAAAAAATACTGTGAATGCAGGGTCAGTGGTCAAAACATTCCCTCCATGGGGCTGGATTGCAACTCCCACTTACCATGCTGCCTGTGGCTGATGGGGACTGCAGTCCAGTAGCATCTCAAGGACCACCCTGGAACAACAGGTCTCTCAAAGGATGAAAGAAGGCTTCTGGGTCTAAGTAGTTGTAATATAAGGTAAATACTTAACATTGGGAAGTGAAATTCCTTTTGTGTTCAAGAAGGATTAAAAAATGCTCTTATGTGATCTCAGCTGCTGAAGCAGGACACAAGCTGTTGAGAGAAAACAGAAGAGTCAGCAGAATGGGGGAAAAGTGAGATGGGTGGGAAAAGGAGGGTGTTGCTTTGACTTGCCAAGTCAGTAAGCAGCTTAGGGTGTATCTTTCCAAGCAATTAAAAACACTTCTGGCAATTAAAAGCACTTTGCAAAGCAGAACTCATGTGCTTTCCAAGGTGAGTTCTTTCAGTGGGCAATAGCAGGCTGCCCTTCCCAATCTGGTGCCTTCCCAAGGTGCTGGAGGTTGTGGATGATGGGACTTGCTGTCCAACACCTTTGGAGGGCACCGGATTGGGAAAGGCTGATGTAATATGCAGTAGAAATAGCTGCATGAGCACTAAACGATACTGGGGGAAAACTCTTTCCTTTTTGAATGAATTCTGTAGTCATACAAATGGGGGCCTGCTTTTTAATTGAGCAATGCAAAAGGAATGGGCATGATGGAATGAACAGAAAGTACAATCAGTTTGTGATAATATTTGGGAAGTCGCCATACCTTTGAAACAAAGCAGGGTAAACTGAAACAAGCATATCAAATGGATGTTCCTCTAAGTCTGGAATTGGTTTCATATTCAAAGTACAATTTTGATAAGCAAAACACCTACAATTCACACAGTACACAATTTGGGGATCTTGAAAAGTAGAAAAGCAGAAAAAATTCCAGTTATGAAAATTTAGGGAGCAGTGCCATCCGCTGGCCAAATTGGGAACTAAAAATATCCAAGCTAATAAGTAATATTTACCAAAAATAATGTGGATCATTTCATTGCGCTCATTAATTAAAATTGTATGCGCTTCTTGGCAACCCCATGTATTCAGCTGCATGTTGACACTCAGTGTCCCAATTTGAACAAGTGACTGGCCCCCAGCTTCTCCCTTTGGATTGTTTAATGCAAGGTAAGTTTCTTGCAACTATCACTTCAGGGTAGCAAACAGCCAGCAAGCACATAGTTTGTCCCATTTTTCACTTTATTTGTATTTCGCTATAGGTACATGCTGGACCCAAACATGACTTCACAAGGTGTGTGTGTACCATTTTGATATCACAAGCTACAGGCAGTGCTTTTCCTTCCCTGAAATGACTTGTGTCCGCAGAAGTGATTCCCATGGTTGGGTTTCAACTCCTATCAGCCCCAGCCCGGATAGCCAATGGTCAGGAATGCAGGAAAGCATTGTTGGAACATCTGTGGGCACCACGTTGGGAAACCATGGATCAGTTTATGGGTACTACCATGTTTATGTATCTAATGTCCAGTTGGTTTCACCAACATCACTAAATCTGGACCCAACCCATTTCATTGAAATAATTTAGGCTGTAACTCTATGCATGGTAAAATATCACACTGCAATATGTTGCAGCCCCACTGAACCCAGGGCACTGGGTTGAAAGAAGAATGCGCACGGTTGGATTGCATATTTGAGAAAGTGACCAGAACATGCCTTCTGGTGTGTAACATTAGTTACTCCCTTAAACCATGCTAACTTCCTTTGTTAATGCTGTAAGGTGTGTAATCTGGGGCACTCCTATGGTCCCCAAGCATTCCCCATGCTGGCCATGACTGGTGGAAAGCAGGGCCCTTGACAACTAGGAGGCACTAAAGTTGCCCACCCCAAATTTCAGGATAGATAAAGACGCTGTGTACAGATCGCTAAAGAATAATAATTCTTATTAGCAATTAGAAGTGCTCTAGGCCAATTATTCTGGAATTAAAAGTGAACAACAGTGTACTGGTAGAACCAAAGTGCAATCCTATGCATGTTTAGCTGGAAATAATTCAGACTATGTACTCCCAACTGCATTTAAGACCACAACTTTTGTGAACTCTATAATGTACATATGAGCACAGAAAGGCTGAGTTATGCTATTAAACTAACCAATCTGGCACACGTCTCCAGAAACTAAAGCTTCTTGGAATTCACACCTTTTCAGTTTGCCTTCTTTCCCTAGGATGGTAGACTTACATTTTCTCCAAAGGTGAAAATGCAGGGCCTGCTTCTCCTTCTGCTTAAAACTTCACAAGAGCGTTTTCTTAGATTGTTGCTAGAGCTGCAAAGAAGCACAGATTTTCTAGATTAGAGAATTCCCGTGCCCTATACATTGGTACTGAAGAACCACTTTTGGCTCAGTTGCCGCGGTTCA